TGTTTTGGTTTTTTTTGTTTTTTTTTTCATATCTGCTGCAATATTTTAAAAATCACTTAATGTTACCCAAGAATCAGCTTTTCTTGAGGAAGATCAAACCTGGAAATGGTGGGCCTAGTTTCTACTAGGCAGTGGTTAGCGGGGCTGGGTGGCTGCTGCCTCAGTTTACCCCTGCCCGTGTGGAGCCCACCCTCCTCCTGTCTGCTGCCTGTCCAGCCCCCAGCAGTGCCTTGTTGACTCAGTTTCCTCGTTAGGTAAAGACTACCTTAGGTCTCTGGACGTACGCATAGTCTTGAAAGGCTGGGTTAGGGCGGACTGGCCTGTCTTTGTGAACCCGAGTGTTGATCTTCTTGAATGCCCCCAAAGATACCAGATTCCCGCATGCTCTTAGGATTACTGCGTATCCTGTCCCTGACAAGAATTCAAGGTTCGTTAGCCTGACCTGGCATCTTTCCCAAGCACATATTCCCAGGTACAAAGGGAAAATTATTAAAACTTGTCACAGGTGGTTTATTGCTGACCCACAATGATGAAAAAGCCCTTTCATGGATCGTTCTGGCATGAATTCTTCAGATGGGCATTTTAGGGAGGGGGCGTAGCAGCCTGTCCTTTTGATTTCCTGACCCAAACCAGAATACACAGGCGACTCAGGACCCCAGCTCCCCACCCTCCGTCCCTTCTCGGTTTTCATTTGATTGAGTTAATTTATTTGTTCATTCATTCATTCAACCTTAACGGGGTTTCTTTTTCTGCTGCTGCTCTGACCTCTGGATATTTCTGATCCGAAGCCCCAGAGACCCCACTTCTGGCTGTCAAGGACAGGGAGACTCAAAACTCCCGAAATCCTTTCTGCTTGGGTGATATGGGATGATTCTTTTGAATGGGAGCTCGGACCCACCAGGATGAGAAAGAAGTAGCCTCATTTTATACATCTTGTTTTGGAAAGAAATGCAGTTGTCTCTCCTGACCCCTGAAATGTTTGTCCCCACTGAAATCAAGAAGGGTTGGGGAGCACCCCAGTTTCCAACCGGTTTCTTCTCAGTAGGACCTCAGGGATTTCAAGCTTCAAATTAACTCTGACTTAGGTTAACGTGGGCCAGAGAGTGGAAGGTGAGAATCAGAGACCCCCTCCACGCCACCCCCACCATGGGGCTCATGTCCTAGGGGTGTCAGTCCCCAGGGAAGCCTAGGGGAGTTTTGATGAGGAAGTTGGACCCAGGGTGGGGGCCAGCAATCATGGTGGCTGGTTCCTTCACTCCATTGAGAGGTTCGCTGCCAAGCAAAGTGCACTTAGAAGGTGTTTGCCTACAGGTGTAATTCACCTGTCAGCATTTGTCACTGCTTGTCATTTCAGATTTATAGACCCAACTGTTCCTCCAGTAGGGTCCATTAGGTCCCTGGCATGGGGGCTGGGCTGGCCAAGGCCAGAACTGCCTTACTGTCTAAGAAGCCCCGTCCAGGTCTGGAGTTCCACATTCTTTCTCGATTGTGGAGCAGGCTCTGGGGGAGTTACTGTATTTCCTTGAAACCCAGCAACACCAACTTTTCACATCTTTTCAGAACAATGAAACAGGTTTTTAAGGGGTGAAGTCACAGCAGCTTGAAAACAAGACCGGAAAAACCCCTTTCGCTAACAGTCGTGGTCGAAGGCCTCCCACGAAGAGTTTTTCTTTGTTACAAAATTGGTCTGTAAAGGTGTAAACTTTCTCAGCTCGTGTGTCCTTACGTGTTTGTGGTGTCTTGTGCTGGGATATGTGTTTCCTTAATTAAAGTTAAAAATAAAAGAGATGCTGCCGTGGTAACAGAGGGCTAGAAAGTAGAAGACAGAAGTCTTGCTCACATGTGTGGCCCCGGATACACATTTTCCGTACAGATGGGATTATTTTGTGTATACCCATGTTCCTGCATTTTAGACTTTAAGGAAGGATTGTTAGCAGTTAAGACAGACGCTACTGAAAGTCAGAGTCATTGACTTAAACAAGTTAATGAATGGGTTTCCAAAGGCTGGTGTAGGCTCATAGCGAAAAAGACCGAAAACAGTCATTACTTGATTAGCCTGTTCCATGGAGGTGGAGGTCAGTGTGACAGCACCTTCCATTCATGCGAATCCTGGTTGCCTTCTTACAACATCATTCAAACAGGGTGGAGTTTCCCATTCTAGAGCATAAACCTCTTGCTAGCGTAAACCCCGTCCGTGTCCACAGCAGAAACCTCGTTAGGTATCCGAGCGTAGCCCACTGAAGATGGGTGCACAGAATGTGTCGAGCTGCCACGGAAATGGAAAAGAAGCCCTCGGAGCCCCGCACGTGGCTGAGAGGAGGGGGTGGGGGTGGGTGGCAGAGCTGGGCGGGATCCTGGGTTGGATCTCCCACTGCTTCAGGCAGTAGCAGCCCAGGAGAGCCTCGGGGTCCTGGAAACAGAAAGAAACATGAAGCCGCAGGTTTCCACTTGTGCAGAGTCTCTTGGAGGAGGAAGGGGGCTGCTCAGCACCCCGATGGAGTTCCATCGGGGTTCCATGGAGTTCCATCTGTGGGTTCCCTAGGACCGTGACTCTTACGGCGTCTGGCCCCCACAGGGACCCTGTGGAATATTGCTCACGGTTACAGAGGACCATATTGGGCACCTTTGTCCCCACTTCTGGGCTTAAAGATAATACATCTGAGAACTGACACCTTCCATGCACCCCTTTCTCTGTCACCCTCTGTCACTGCCCAGGTCTGCTCTCTCCTAAAACCTGCCTCTGTCTCCTTCCCTAAAGATTAAATCTTCCAGGAAGAAAGGGGAAAGGGGTTCCTTTTCTTTTTTAAACCCCTCCCCGCCATGCTCTGGGACTTGGCTCAGAATAACATGGCAGCTTGTTTGGCATTAAAATTGCTAGACTCTTAGATGCATTTCCTATCACTGCCACGGCCAGCTGCTGCGAATCTGATGTTTTGAAACAGTCGATGGATTCCAGTGGTGTAGGTGAGAGGTCGGGGCCAGGGCTCACCGACCTGTGATCAGGGTGTTGGCAGGATGTCCTGTGTTGCTCCCGGATGCCCCAGGGTGACTCTGGCCTTGCCTTTCCCAGCTCCTAGATGCTGTCACCATTGCTTGGTTTATGTTCCTTTCCCCGTCTTCAAAACCAACACCTCTCATCGCCCTGAGCCTTCCTCTGCCCGCAGTTTTCTCCCTGGCCATAGCTGGGAGCGTACTGCCGCTTGAGTACTCCTGTAATTATGACAATCCAGAATGGTCTCCCAGGGCCCCGTCCCTTGTTTTTGTCCTCCCCGCCAAGCCCGTTTTGCCCTGTAAGGTAACAGACTCCCACGGCTGGGGATTGGGATGTGGGCCTCTTTGGGGCCATTATTCGGCCTGCCGCACACCCTATGAACTTGCCACTCAGTGGCAGGGCGGGGGACATGAGGGTTGGACTCCTGACTATGGCCAGGCACCCCCTGAGGGTATGGTGATGAGTGAGCCCCTGTGCTCTGCTGGCATGGGGGGAGCTGGGAGCTGGGATGTGTTTCCCTGGGGCTTTTTACTTGGGTCACTTAGACCCAGGAGGAGATCCCGTGACAGCAGCAGCTGGTCACCGTTGCTGGCCGGGAGCAGCCCGCCACGCTTGCCTCTGAGTCTGTTTCTGCGCCTGTCAGGTGGAGTCGGTCCTTCTCAGCTCGGTGGGCTGGTGAGGGGCCGGCTGACCCTGGGTGTGGACCCTGCCCCTCGGGTGCACCGTGGGCTTGTCACGCTTACTTGTGTCTCCTTCCCGGGCAATGGCAGGAAGGGCCAGCGGGGTTGCATGCGCTGCTGTCCCGTCCCTCCCCATCTCCCCTCTCTGTCCCCACCATTGCGTTCCTTTTCTGCTCTTACTTCCTTCTCTTCCTGGACACTCAGCCGGATTAATCTGTGGACGGGGTTTTATTTTCTTGCCCAGCTTTTAAAACAGGTGCATTAATTGCATCTAAAGGGAAATCTCAGGAACAGGTCCCTATCTCTGGTTTTTCTTGAGAAGCTGGAAGCTCTGGCTCTTTCTGGGCTGCGTTCCCTTGGGGCAGTGTCCTTCTTCAGTGTGACGGGGGTCACCGCCCCTGTGGATGTGACGCGGGTCCTGTTACCCCCACCACCACCCCCGCAGTCCTCTTCACTCCCTTGCACGACCAGTCTGGCCCCCGTCTTGGAGTTCGCAAGCCCCCTGCCTTTGATTAAAGTGAAGCAAGCCTCACTGAGGTTACTAGAAGCTTCCAGGTGGCAATAGAAGCCTTGCCTCTGGGAAGTGCCATGTGTGGTAGGTGGGCTTGGGTGCCAGGTAAACCCAGGACCTACCTGGCCTTGCCACGCCGCCGCCCGCCAGCATCACCTTGTGCAGCTGAATTAGTGACCTTCCTCCCCTGCGTGGACCAGTGATCTCCCTGTTGGCAGTACCGCCTTCTGGGCTGGGGGCCTGGGGGCTGTGTTGTGGGGTGTTTAGCAGCACCTTGCGGGCAGGAACCAGGACATGTGAGGGGTACACACCCCTTTCTCCAGTTGTGATGACCAGAACTGTCCCCACATGTTGCTCTAGGTCCCCTAGGGGGCAGAGCTGCCTGGTGGACACCCGCTGTGGACACCTGCCTGGTTGGGTGTTGGAGAAGTTTAGAGCAGAGTGTGAATGCGGGGCTCCCCCTTCCCCCACCTGCACTGCACCCTCCTTTCTGGCTATTGCTGTGGGCTCAGTGCGAATCCTCCAGAAGGGGGCACTCTCGACCCTGTGTGCTCTCCTGGGAGTGTGTAGCCCTCTCTGGGGCCTGGGGGAGAAGGTGAGCCTTAGTGTGTGGAGGGCGGCTGGGCGAGTGGCAGCGCCTGCCGGCCCAGAAGGACGGATGCTTTCCCCACCGGCAGACCCAGCCTTCCCCGGGGACACAGTGACAGCTGGTGCTTTGCCGGTCGTGGCACCCCTCCCACCTTGGTGTTCGTTTGCTTGATCTCCGAACCGGGACCCTTGGCCGTGTATCTGACCTTCGGCCCTGTGTCCCGTTTAGGTGGCCCTGGTCCAGTGGACCGAAAGTGTGGGCTTAACCCTGGTGGGCCGAGACCAGTCGTCCATGCAGCTGAGGACCCCTGGCGACCAGATCCTGAACTTCACCATCTTACAGATCTTCCCTTTCACCTACGAAAGCAAGCGGATGGGCGTCATCGTGAGGGTGAGTTACCCCCATTGGGACTCGGGGCTCGAGGTGATTCCAAAACGCAAGTCTCCTGTGTGGGTCCCCATAGCTCAGCGTTCTTTATTAACCTTTTCTTACCGTCTTTCCGGCGATGAGGTCTGTTGTCCAGACTAACGAGAGAGTAGGATTGCCTGAACGGAAAGAATGTTTTTGGTCCATTGAGGTGGACAAGACCTCAGGTAGTGGATCAGCTTCTGGTTAACCTGGTTCTAGAAGGAAAGGTCTCACGTACGCGGACTGGGCATTCTTGATACAATGCATTCCTCGCTGTGTACGCTTTTGTTTAAACACCTGTCTGCTGAGGTGAAATTCACGTAAGTGAACCATTTTAAAGTGTGTAATTCAGTGGCATTTAGTAGATTCAGGATTGTACACCCACCACTTGTTTTTTTTCTTTTTTTTTAGAGCATTCATGTGCCCCAGGGTTGGGGGGGTAGAGTGGAGGGAGAGAGAGAATTTTAAACAGGCTCCTCACCCAGCGTGGAGCCCAGTGCGGGGCTCGATCTCACGACCCCCCCGATCATGACCTGAGCTGAAATCAAGAGTCAGACCCTTAACTAACTGAGCCACCCAGGCGCCCTGTAGCTACCCTTTCTGTCAAGTTTCCAAACATTTTTAATCACCCCAAAAGGAACCCTCATGCCCTTTAAATATAGTGACTCCCCATTCATCCTTCATTCTAGTCCCTGAAATCACCCGTCTGCTTTTTGTCTCAAGAAGTTAACTGATTCTGGATACTTCCTGTAACTGGAATCCTATGATACGTGACCTTTGGTGTCTGACTTCTTTCATTCAGCCTGATGTTGTGCTGGATCCATCCATGTGGAAGCAGGAACCTTTGTGTGGCTGAGTCATCGCTTGTCTGTTGGTTGTTGATAGACATTGGGTTGTTGCACTTTTGGCTGTTGTGGGTCGTGCCGCTGTGGGCACTCACTTGCAAGGATTTGGATACCTGTTCTCAGTCCTTTGGTTGAGACCTAGGAGTGGAATTGCTGGGTCATGCTGGGTTCATTACCTACTTGCTGGATAATTCCATCATTTAACTTTATAAGGAAACTCCAAATGGTTTTCTGTAACAGGGCACCATTTTACATTCCCAGCTGATGTGGGAAGGTTCCAATTTCCCCACATCCTCACCAACACTTTTTATTTTCCTTTTTTTTTTTTTAATTGTAGCCATTGTCGTGGTTGGGAAGTGATATTTCATTGTGGTTATGATTTGTATTGACTTAATGACTGATGATGTTGTGTATCTTTTTGTGTGCTTATTGGCCAGTTTTATATCTTCCATGGAGAAATGTGTATCTGAGGCCTTTGCACACCTTTTAATTTGGTTGTCTTTCTGTTGTTCAGTTGTAAGAGTTCCTTACATAATCTGGATATCATCTGGGAGATGATGTGTAACTATTTTCTTTTACTCTGTAGGTTGTCTTTTCATTTTCTTGATAAAATTCCTTTGATTCACAGAAGTCACTAATTTTGATCAACCCAGTTTATCTGTTTTTTTCTTTTGTTGCCCTTAAGTGTCATATCCAAGAATTTATTGTTAAATCCAAGGTCATGAAAATTTACCCCATGTTTTCTTTTTTTTTTAAGATTTTATTTATTTGACAGAGAAATTTACCCCTATATTTAGAAAGAAAATTTACCCCTATATTTAGAAAGAAAATTTATCCCTATATTTAGAAAGAAAATTTACCCCTTTATTTTCTTTCCTTTTTTTTTTTTTAAAGATTTTATTTATTTATTTGGCAGAGAGAAAGATCACAAGTAGGCAGAGAGAGAGGGGGAAGCAGGCTCCCTGCTGAGCAGAGAGCCCAATACAGGGCTGATGCAGGGGCTGATGCGGGCCTCGATCCCAGGACCCTGAGATCATGATCTAAGCCAGAGGCAGAGGCTTAACCCACTAAGCCACCCAGATGCCCCATACCCCTTTATTTTCTTTTAGGAGTTTTGTGGTTTTAGCTCTTTAAGTCATTGATGCATTTTGGGTATTTTGATGAATTTTGTATATGCCGCGTGAGGTGGGGGTTCAACTTCATTCTTTTTTTTTTTTTAAGATTTTATTTATTTGTTTGACAGAGATCACAAGTAGGCAGAGAGGCAGGCAGAGAGAGAGTGGGGGAAGCAGCCTCCCTGTTGAGCAGAGAGCCCCATGTGGGGCTCGATCCCAGGACCCTGAGATTATGACCTGAGCCGGAAGCAGAGGCTTTAAACCACTGAGCCACCTAGGCGCCCCTCAACTTCATTCTTTTGCTGGTGTGTACTCAGCTGTCCCAGCACCATTTGTTGGAGAGACTCTTCTTTCTCTATTGAGTAGTCTTGGCCCCCTTGTTGTAATTCAGTATTTTAAATGGTTTTCATTTGTACAATCACAAAAGTTATTGGGAAAAAATTTAGTGATCCTTCAGTATCATCATTTTGTCGCATTTATTTCGAATTTTGTTTTTTTATATTTTAAAATTTTTATTGAAATACAGCAGCCCCAGAGAACAGTGCAGACATCCTAAGTGTGCAGCTCACATGTTTTACACGGTTAGGGCACCCATGCGACCGGCATCCAGAGCAAGGATCAGAATCCCCGCCTTCGCTACCCCAGCAACCCCCCTGTGCTCCTTCCTGGTCACCTCCATCTCTCTCCCCACAGCGATAGAGCCACTCTCCCAATTTCTACCACTGATTAATCACTTTTTGAGATTTTCTCCTTACATAAAAGAAATCATGCTGTACATTTTTGGGTTTGAGTTCATTTGCTCAAATTTATATTTTAGGATTAATCCCTGTTTTTGTAGGTATTGTAGTTTAAAATTTTTTTTTTTTTAAAGAAATAAAATACTGTGTATTCAGTGGAAGGTTCGTCTGCCCTTCCTGGATGTGCTTCCCTTCCATTCCTGCGGAGGTTCGCAATTTGTAAGGAATTTGAAAATGCTGTTATCAGACATGGTTGGGTATAAATAATGTGTGTTATGGTTTTGCATATTTTTATTCTTCATATAAATGGCATTGCATCATCATCTCCCTTTGTGTTCTTAACATTTATTTATTTTTTCAAGATTTTATTTATTTATTTGACAGAGATCACAAGCAGGCAGAGAGAGAGGAGGAAGCAGGCTCCCGCTGAGCAGAGAGCCCAATGCGGGGCTCGATCCCAGGACCCTGGGATCATGACCTGAGCTGAAGGCAGAGGCTTTAACCCACTGAGCCACCCGGCACCCCTGTTCTTAACATTTAAAAGAGCTTTATGTTCTTTACCCTCCGTGATTAATTGTAGCCACGTTGGAGTGTTACACTGTATACCTACACCTCTCTTCCTTCGGCTTGCTGGGGTTTCTTGCTGATATGCGTCAGATAGTTGCTGCTTGTTTTGCCATCGGAAACAGCACAGCCACGCGTGTCCGTGTCTGTCCTGATCTCCATTACACATGGTGCTGATGTTTCTCTGGGGAGTGTGTCCAGAGGTCATGTTGCTGGGTTGGCAATATATACATCTTTTTTTTTTTTTAACATTTTATTTATTCATTTGAGAAAGAGAGAGAGAGAGAGCCTGAGAGGGGAGAAGGTCAGAGGGAGAAGCAGGCTCCCCATGGAGCTGGGAGCCCGATGTGGGACTCGATCCCGGGACTCTGGGATCATGACCTGAACCGAAGGCTGTCGCTTAACCAACTGAGCCACCCAGGCGCCCGGCAGTATATACATCTTTACCACTTCCCCAAAGTGCTTGTACTAATCTTGGTGCCACTGCTCCTCCACATCCTCCCCACTGTTTGATGGCATCAGACTTAAAATGTTGTCACCGTCTTGTTTTACCATTTGTTCTTTTACTCAGAGAACCTCTCTCTCCATTCCGGAAAGCCTGGGAACCCTGTGTTCCAGACAACACCGCGTTCAGTAACTCTTAAACCTGGCTGGTCATCAGAATTACCCAGGGACCTTTAAAAATGCAAATGATTCTGTCCCATCTGGACCTGTTTTGGTATTGGGATGGTTCCTTGGCATTTGTAAAGGTTTTTCACATCATTTGGCTTGATTGGAGAAAACTCTCCCCAGATCATGGGCAACTTCGGGATATGACTCATCTTTTTTATTTTGTTTTTAAAAGAAACAAGGCATTGAATTTAAATAAAATTTTAAAAATAAAAGGAATTAAAAAAAAAAAAAGAAATGAGGGTCCCCTCTGCCCTGATCTACCGAAGCGTTTTATGCCTTAAAAAATCAAAGAGCTTTAGATTCCATTATAATAAATCTGTATTAGTAGTATGAGTAGTTGGTGATCAGGGTACTTAGTAGCAGAGGTACTAGGAGTTGCTGTAGGAACAGAAATAACGTAGTGCTAGGTTACATTTAATGATGCTTATGGCATGCCAGATGCTGTTCTAAGTGATTTGCATAGTCTCGTTAATTCTTCCCGTAAGCCAACAAGGTAGCTCCATTCTGATTGGCGTTTGACAGAGGAGAATACTGAGGTGTAGGGTGGCCAAGCCGCCTGCGCAGTTTCGCCTCGCTGGAGAACGTGGAGCTGGGACTGGCCCCAGGTCACGTGGCTGCCAAGTCCATATTCTTTAACCACGAGGACCCGGGAGTTCTGGTGCGGTGCGAGGGGCGTCAAAAAGCTCCTAGAGCCCCCGTAGTGACGTTGGGGTGTAGTGTCACGTGTTGCTGCATAGCCGATCACCCCACACTTAGCGGCTTCAAACAACAGAAGATGGTATCTCACCGGCTTTCTGGGCCAAGAATCTGGGTGCAGCTTCGCTGGGTCCTGTGGCCCGTGTGTGGGTCACGCAGCATTTAGCTGGGGCAGGATCTGCTTCCAGATAAAATCAGCATTGTTGGCAGGACTCGGCCCCTTGCGCTTGCTGGACTGAGGGCTTCAGGTCTTCACTGTTTTGGTGGGAGGTCCCCCTCGTTCACTGCTCCGCGGGCTTCTCTGGAGGGCAGCTCCCGGGTCAGCGGGCTTCGTCGGAGGGGACGAGGGAGCGTGTGAGCAGGTGGAAGGCACAGTCTTTGTCACGTGACCTCAGAACTGGCCGTCCATCAGTTCAGTCCCGCGTAGCTAACTAGAAGCAGGTCACCAGGTCTGTGCCCCCTCCCCCTGCTCAGTGGGAACATGTCTCCTGGGGCATGGATACCATGGGGTGGGGGTCACTGGAAGCCCTTAAAGAAGCCGCCTCCCCTCTCCATGTAGAAGAAACAGCTTCATGAGCTGCATTTTGATGACCCCGTGATGCAGCGCGAATGTGCTTGGAAATTGACACACTTCAAGGGGTTTTTATGTCCCCGATGCCAGTAGGTACTTTGAGACTCAACAGGACACCTCTCCTTGGCAACTTTTGGGTGGGAAGGGAGCTCTTTGTCCCATGCTGCTTCCCCCACGAGCCTATACCTGGCCTGACCCGTGGCTTCTAAACTGTATCTTGAACACACATCTGATATCAAGAACATCCGTGGCCTGGAAGCAGCAGCATAGATCAGGTGGGTGGGTGTTTCCTGGTGAATCAGAGTCATTATCTCCCACGGATTTACTTTTGTTCCAGCTTTTATGTTTTCAAGTTCTAGGACCATGGGCTCTGCTGAAGTCATTTGAGGGCTGACTCATCCCCAGATACCCAATATCAGCCATTCTAAGATAAGTGAGCAACATCCCCCACCCTTCCTTTCACTCTGAAGGGCTCTCCTTCCCAGATACGCGTCCTGGTTTATGAGCTGTGGCCCCGTGTGTTCTCACAGCGGGAACAGTAGAGGATGCTTGTTGGATGGACAAATCCTTACTTTCCAAACCGCACCCCACCCTCCCAAGGTTACAAAAAACAAACCAACCCATCCTTTAGTTAAGGCATTCAGAACAAATACATAAGTGAAGAAAGAGCTCAAGCTCTAATCATCTTTATTTTCACCACCAAAAGATGAGAACCTCTTCCCTTTCCAGGGATTTTTCTCTCAGTTTTTTTTTTTTTCTATGTGTATAGGAGTGTAAACATCCACACAGATTTTTATGAAATTGGGATCGAATGTCACATAAGGCTTTCTAAATTCTCCCCTCATTGAACAGTGTATATATGGTGAACATTTTCTGGTATCAGTGAAAGGTGATTTTTATGATTTTAATGTGTACGTGGTGCTTGGTGGAACAAAAATATGATTGATTGAATATTCCTTTCCTTGGATACTTAACGTTTCTCATTTCTCACTACTAAAAGTCCGTGAGCATCCGTCTTTAATGAAATGCATATTATTGCTAAGTTTTCTTGTTTGCTGACCTGTCTCCCTCTCTGTCTGTGGTTCTGACAGTGACAATCAGCCTCCAGGGCGTGTGGGCAGGTTCTGTACTCTGTAGAGATCTCTCCCACTCCTCCAACGAAGGGGTTCTCGTCCTGGGGCCATTTTGCCTCCAGGGGACATGCAAAAAAACGGTTGGGAGATTCTTTGGGTTGTCACGACTCAGGATGGTACCACTGATGTCACCTCGTGGGTGGAGGCCAAGACAGCCTCCTGACAAAGAATGGTCCTCTCTGCATGGTCATTGTGTGGGGCCCGCAGCTCCCGTCTGATGCACCCAGAGAGCCTCCCGTCATTTAAAGACACCAGCCCAGTTACCTGCCGGGAGGAAGCGTCAGCTCAGCCATACGTCTTGGTTTCGTGCCTGTGGACCATTAGGAACATGCTCTCGGTGGGTTCATCGCCCCCCACCAAAAATACGTGTGAGCTCAGGGCCCGTGCTTGGCAGGTACTTCCTGCCAAGGAGAGCAAAGTCTTGTCTTGGCGTGAATCTCCGTCTTTGGGGCCGGTGTGCTCGTCTCTCTGAAGGAAGGCTGCATTGCCTGCTTTGTTTTTGTTGTGTACAGATGTTCCACTGCACCCCCCTCCCCGCCATCCCACGTGCAGTGATGGAGGCCGATCATTGCTGTAGATCATACCCCTGTCATTGTTTGCATAAAAGAGGCCTTTGAACAGGGGCCAGAATCAGACCACAGTGGAAAAAGATGAGGCCCCAAAACAATGCCGTGCGACCAGCAGCTCCCTGTGAATTTACGGCGTAGTCTTGCCATCGTATGAGAGCGAAGTAACCTTGTGATGAACCGGGTGGGAGGAAATGAGTATAACGGGAGGAGACAGTGGATACGTGTTTATATTGGATGAGCTGGCCGAGCTCTCCCGAGCACCCTCGGCAGGAGAGGAAGCTGGGGGCGGTGGGGGGGGGCGGGAGCTATTTCCTATCCCTGTGTTGTTAAGCACCATTTGGGTGAAGGGAGAAGGGAGAAGAACCCTGGGATGCTTTCATGCCGTTCTCTTTGGCCCGAGTCACAGGAACACACAGGTGCGATCCGTGGAACGTGCACCACGAGGAGTTTCCACTTTGGAGAGGCAGGTGCTTTCCGGAGTAAGCGTATAGTTCTCGAAGACTGTCGGTGATCCCAAGGCATTAGAGAGCTGTCTTGAAGGAGGAAACTTACACTGAGAATTTGGCTTTTGGTATTTATTTCACGTGTAGTAAAGAGTTCACAGGCACGCATTCTGGGCTTCCCGGGGTGACGGGATTTAGGCAGGAGGCGGGAAGGGCCATGCTCCGCTCCCTTGCCCATCTCCCCTGCCTTCAGGCTCCCTGCGATAGGGGTTGCCAAGGAAGGAATGTCAAGGAATAAGAACCGGGGATTTTACTGCCATTCTCCAAAGCCAGGATTTCTCAGCCTCGGTGCTCTTGATGCTGGGACCTGATGATTCCTGGCTGGGGCTGCCCTGTGCCCTGTGAGATGCTTCTCAGCATCCCGGACCTCTACCCACTGGATGCCGGTAGCATCCGCAACCCCGAGTTGTGACAACCAAAAAGATCACCAGATATTGGTAAATGCAAAATCTCCTTTGCTGAGAACCACTGGGCTAATAAGCCTTGGTCTCCACACACGGCACGCTCGAGGGGTGTGTCACGTTACCGTCCCCCAAGCAGGACTGAGGACGTTGAGCGGACGCTGTCTCTGTGTCCGGCCCTTGGCTGTGCGCTCTGTGTAAGTGACATTATTTAAGCCACAACAGCCTGTGTGTTAAGAGTTGTTAGTATTCCTATTTTACAGATGAGAAAACTGAGGTTTAGAGAAAAGAAGAAGCATGTCCAGGTGCACACAGCTGAAAGCTGGTGTCGGGTCTAAGCATTCGACGCCGGGGCCATGGTGTTACCTACTCCCCAGAAAATCTGGTCAGTGTGAACGAGAACCTGGGTAATCTGATCCCTAGCTAGGTCCTCAGGTAGACATAAGGGTCTGGAAATACCAGGGTCGGCAGTTCTCAGGGAAGGCAGCTTGCGCCCCAGGGGTGTTTATTTATGTCTGGAGACATTGGATTGTCCCCATGGGGTTGCTGCTGGCATCTGGTGGGGACAGCCTGGGGACGCCTCAAAAGGTCCTGCAGTGCATAGGTCAACCCCTGCAGCAAAGAATTCACCAGCCCGTATGTGAATGATGCCAAGGTCGAGAACCCCACTCTGGGTAACGACCTTACTTCCCCACGTTTCCAGGTAGACCACAGTTTGATGATCCTGGCAGTCCCATCTGTAAATTAAGATGCACTTCCAGGGGACGCCTGGGTGGCTCAGTTGGTTAAGCGGCTGCCTTCGGCTCAGGTCATGATCCCAGCGTCCTGGGATCGAGTCCCACATCGGGCTCCTTGCTCGGCAGGGAGCCTGCTTCTCCCTCTGCCTCTGTCTGCCTGTGCTCGCTCACTCTCTCTCTCCCTCTGTCTCTGACAAATAAATAAATAAAATCTTTAAAAAAAAAAAAAAAAAGATGCGCTTCCAGCGTGGGAGTCCGTTCCTGTTGGGATAGTAATAACTAAAAACAAAGTCCTTAAATCCTTTTGATCTTGCTTTCATCATTTAATGCGTTTCCAAATGCTTTGAGTTTTCTTCTGTTTTCTTGTGGCCTTTGCCCCAAAGTGAGCCCCCCCCCTTCTGGCTTTTTATCTTTAGCCAAGTGAGAAAACACTGGCGTCCGCTGAGTACACTTTGTACGCCATCTGTCCTGGGAAGTGGGCACAGGCGCAGAAAGTGGGTGTTCCTCTTGGGTATTCATTCCCTCGGGCCCCCTCTCTAGGATGAATCCACCGGAGAGATCACGTTTTACATGAAAGGAGCAGATGTCGTCATGGCTGGCATCGTGCAGTACAATGACTGGCTGGAGGAGGAGGTAAGCGGGGTGCGTGGAGTGAGAACCGGGCTGCAGGGGCATGTCTGCTGGCTGCCCCTCGCATGGCAAAGCGAGATGGGGCTCCGCTTGTCACCTGTGCCTACGTAACAGGTGGCCCCCGAACTTAGCATCAAACTACACGCTTCTATTTCTCATGGTTTCTGTGGGCCAGGGATCCGGGCATAGCTTCGTTGGCTCCTCTGCTCAGGGTCTCCAGAGGGTTTGCTTGGGGCCAGCTCTCATCTGAAGGCTCATGTGGGGCAAGACCCACTTCTGTGCTCACCCAGCTGCCCTGTGCGGGAAGTCAGCTCCTCTCTGGCTTTTGGGTGGAGGCCGGTCCCAGGAGGGCGGGGAGCACTGGGGGCCACGTCCCAGGCTGCCTCTTCTGGTTCATGGTCTGGAGAATTGGCCACAGCCAGGAGGGAGGAAACTCTCCAGTTTATCAGGCCGATCTTATTTTATCTCTCTGCTCCAGGTAGGAAAAGGCACATTTTCCATTCAGTAATATTCTGTTTTCAGTTAGAGGGTGGCAAACTCAAATGCCAGTGGGGGCCAGGCAGGTAAGTCAAAAGAAACAGGCTGGGGTGTGTTCTTCTAGCAGGGTCGCACTTTGTATGTTAAGCATATTAGAATATTCTTCCCTTGACAACTGTTTTCTGGGAAGACCTAAAAGCTGCTACTTTTCATCCATCGCTGGTTGTGGTTATTTGGGAAGGTGTGGGCGGTTTCATCTGAGGTTCAAATCCAGACTTACCTGTGAAGTCTTAACAGCGTTGACTTAAATTTTGAAATGTCTACTGTGTCAATCAAAGACAACCTCTGTTTGGCCTATGGACTGCCATGTTGCCGCCTCCCTTGAGAAGGTTTGCTTTAGGGGAAAGCCGTAGTCCGATTTGCCACTTTCCCCAGCCCCTGTGTCAACTGTAGCGTCCGGCCCTCCTCCATGAGAGTCTGGGGCTTGGAGGTGGAGCTCTTAGTGCACCGCTCCACTGACTGTGGTCTGCTTTGCAGTGTGGAAACATGGCGCGAGAAGGTCTGCGGGTGCTGGTGGTGGCGAAAAAGTCTCTAGCAGAGGAACAGTATCAAGACTTTGAAGTAAGTGGTCCTGGGACCTTTTTGTTATTCTTTGCAGCCCTACCCTTATCTCCCCCTCGCTCATTCCCCTGTAGCCCTACTGAGGTCCTTTCTGAGCTCCCCAGGCTCACTTCTGCCACGGGGCCTTTGCACTTGCTCTTTCCTCTGCCTGGAACTCTCTTACCACACAGAGCTCCATGGCCTGCTCCCTTGTTTCCTTTGGGTCTCTGCTCAAATGCCACTGCCTCTGAGAAGTCTTCCCGGACTCGCCATCTAAGGCAGCCCCACCTCACCGCTCACCATCCATCACCTGCCTCACTTTCTTCACTGTGGGAGTCCCCACCTAGGATGACCTTGTTTCTGTGTTTCCATCTAACATTCTCTGACGAATAAAATTTTTTTTCAGAGCAGAGACTGTCAGTTTGGTTCAGTCTTACATCCCGGCACTTGTTAGTTATGGACACATGGGATATCCTCTGGAAAATTTAAAATGATTCACCTCCTTGGAGCCCTCATTTCTTTACATTGTGGAAAGAGTTGAACTAGATCATTGACTTTGATGGTCAAGGGTTCCAGCATGAATATGTGTGGTTTATTGTCCTCTTGTCCCATAAATTGTGTGTTTCTTGAGGGCAGGGTCCTGGCCTGGCACAAAGCCTAGCATGTGCATGGGTGTATGACCGACTGGGAGAGAGGTATGGCTGGGGACAGGTGTCAGGGGTCCTTGTCCTGGCCCACCCAGAGGAACTGTGCCCGAGTCTGTCTCTTCCTTGTGCTTGAGTTCTCTGCAGAGTTTTATTTAGCAAGAATTCTAGCCCTGATAATTGTCCTTCCAAGTTTAAAAGCATGTGTTTGAAACAACCCATTTGGGGGATTTTTTATTTCCTTCCACGTCTTCGCTAACCCTATAAAGTGGCTAAACTGAAGGGTTGGGTCCATGGTCTTTGGAGGTGAGACTTCATCTTCAGAAAACCGGGTGATCAGGGGCTTTTGGTCACAAAGTGTGTGCTGTGTGTGAGAGAACGTGCTCTCTTTTTGAGATCTTGAGTTGTACCTGTCCTTGCAACGGCCCGGGGAGGGTGGGACTGTTACTGCTGCTTCATGGATGAGATCAGTCGAGAATCAGATACACTGAGCAACTTGCTAGAAGTTGCACAGCAGGCAAGTATAAAGGAAAGGGTGGTACTAAGGCCTGTGTAAGATCTGGGCCGATGAACTCGGAAGGACGCTGGACGTCTCCGTTCATCCCCCGCTGGGTGTTCCCCTCCCCACCCTAAGCAGTGGCGGCGTCTCCCGCTGTGTCGCAGGCCCGCTACGTCCAGGCCAAGCTGAGCGTGCACGACCGCTCGCTCAAAGTGGCCACCGTGATCGAGAGCCTGGAGATGGAGATGGAGCTGCTCTGCTTGACCGGGGTGGAGGACCAGCTGCAGGCAGACGTGAGGCCCACCCTGGAGACCCTGAGGAACGCCGGCATCAAGGTAGGCTGACCCGGCCTGGGGCCCAGCTGCTCAGGTGCACAGTGGTCCCCGTTGCAGAGCGTAGAAACGAGAGAGGAGGGCAGGGAAGAGGTGGGAACCGAGGAACCCGAGGGTGCGGACAGTGACCACCGCCCTGGCTGGGATGGGCCACTGTGTCCCTCCCGCCCCTTGGGCCCTGTTTCTGGAGGACATCTCCCCCCGCCCCCACTGGGCTCCACGAAGGCGGGACCGCCTGCCGCCCCTCCTCCCTCCAGCCAGCTCGGGGTGTCCGGCACATTCTTGTTGAGCCACTGGCCGGCCATCTGCCGGTTGTTCTGGGTGAATGAGTGGCCGCCCCGCGGACTGACCGCCTGTTCCAGCAAACTGCTGTCTTCACACGGTTTGGGGCCAAAAAGAAGAAAGAAAAGAAACCCCGGCGTTTAATCCAGAGAGGCCAGCAGAGGGCGACAGAGGCGCGCGTGCCGCCTTTACAGGAGCGCAGCCCCCGTGTAAACCCGATGCTACCCTGTGTCTTCCGGCCCGAGGCCTAGTTCATTGCAAGGAAGTGGTCAGCAAGGTCCCCCTTGTGGAAAAACAGTCCGAAGTCAGAAGGGCTCGCTTCTGCTGCGCCGCGGTGCTCGGATCTGTCACTGGCAACTTCCGTGGACCTCGTCTCTCTAAGTTTGGGCCTTTCCAGTTCCTGCTTCTGGCTCCATCCCGAGCTTCTCCTCAAAGCTGTTCTCTCCAAAAGGCTGGGTTCTTGTTTTTGTTTTTTAAAGGCTTTATTTATTTGACAGAAAGAGACACAGCAAGAGAGGGAACACAGCAAGGGGAGTGGGAGAGGGAGAAGCAGGCTTCCCGCTGAGCAGGGAGCCCAATGCAGGACTTGATCCCAGGACCCTGGGATCATGACCTGAGCTGAAGGCAGAGGCTTAGCGACGGAGCCACCCAGGTGCCGCCAAAAAGCTGTTCTAATCCCAGAGTGTGGACTGGACTTCTCTTTCTGGTTTCCTTGGTCAGACGGGAGGGGGAAGGGAATGTTGGGGGGGAAGGATGGGGAGGGGTGGGTTTGGAGGCAGGCCTAGCGTAAGGTCCTTCACAGGCCAGAAGCTGTGGGAGCTTGGAATTCCCACTTCGGCCCCTTTCTAGATGCAGCAGCCAAGGTCAAGTAACGTGGGAGACGTGCTGCTGGGCCTGGGGCTCAGGTCTGGGCACGTACCTGCAGTGCCCCCTGTCGTCCTGACGTGGGGCCTCCGTGCTGTCGTGCACCAGTGACTTTCCATGGTTTTCTAGAACGTGAGCCTCCCAGCTCCTTCCCTGGTGTTTCAGCAAACCCTGAACACTGGCACCAAACTGGGATCACTAAAAAGAATACATTTTTTAAACGGCCAGATGAGGTGTTGAGAGAAGAGGCTGACACCCACCAGGGTCAAGCCCAGAGCCACGGTCCTCCCCCACCCTGACAAAAGGGCCCAGTGCCCGTGTCCTGGCTGTCTCATGGCCTGGGTTTGAATCTGGTTTCTCCGCTGACTACTTCGGCAGTCCTTGGCAAGTGGCTTGGCTTCTCAGGGCTCTGTTTCCTGCCTCAGCACGTCACCGTTAAGGTCACATGCACTGAACGTGGATGACACTTGATGGGCACCTGGCACGGCAAACGCTCTGGAAACCATTGCCGTTTGCTTTCCCCTACCTCCCCCGCTGCCAGCGTGTCCTTTGCACAGTGACTCTGCGCCCTTTCCTGCTGGGGGCAGCGAGAGCAGAGGGTTGATGGGTAAACCAGCAGAGCAGGAAGCACATTCCATTTGGACTGTGAACACAGGGATTCTGGGCCTGTTCGGAACGGGAGCTGGCTGTGTGGCTTTGGGGCAAGTCACCTACCCTCTCTGAGCCCCTGGCAGCGAGACGCAGGATGATCTGTTGGGAGGGGCAGAGGAACTTGGCATGTTTGCCGTTGGCTTAACCAACCACCTAGAAAGACTGCATGTAACGTGACAAAACAGTGTTTCCTGTAGGGCATGGAAGTGACCCTCACCCATCCTGCTGTCCCCTTCTTTGAAATTATTTATTGCTTTAAGAAAAATTTCCGGAAGGGGGATGAGGAGGTCAGAAGCCGAACCTCATGATGTCTGTGGAAGCGTGTGGCCAAACGGTTTTCTAGAAGCATCGCACCAGCTTTCGCTGCCCCCAGCAGTGGTCACTTGGGGTCCTGAAGCCTTTGGAGTGGGGTATTCCTGCAGTGTGTTGGGGACACCATGAGCCTCGAGATAAGTTAGAATAAATGAGGGGCACCTGGGGGGCTCCGTCGTTAAGCCTCTGCCTTCAGCTCAAGTCATGATCCCAGCGTCCTGGGATGGAGCCCCACATTGGACTCCTTGCTCAGTGGAGAGCCTGTTTCTCCCTCTCCCAATCCCCCTGTTTGTGCTCCCTCCTCGCTGTGTTTCTCTCTGTCAAATAAATAAATAAAATCTTTTTTAAAAAGTTGGAATAAATGGAGTTTAGCTCGATGTTCTTGGGAACTGAGCAGATACAGACTGCAGGCTGGCCTTGGACAGTGGCCCAGAAGAGCCCCTCTCTGCTGTGGTTTTAGGTTTGGATGCTGACTGGGGACAAGCTGGAGACGGCTACGTGCACAGCAAAGAACGCACACCTGGTGACCAGAAACCAAGACATCCACGTTTTTCGGCTGGTAAAGTATTGTCTGCACTGGGGCCTCGTGGGGACGATGCTGCAGTTTGCGGGGTGACCTCAGAACCCTAAAGAGGGGAGAGAGGAGTGTAGTAGCCACCTTGGGTGGGGGAACTTACATCGTTGGGTTTGAGGGGAATCACTGAGTGGCCCCGGCGAGGCTGTAGGGTTCATTCCTTCTGGTGGCGGTTCAGACGCACCTAGTTACAGTCCAGTGTTCCTACCCTGGTGGGGGTCACGGTCCCTTTGAGAAGCTGATGCAGGACACCATCGGGGCTAAGGGTGCAGACAGGCCCATGTGTGGGGAATTGTACCTGCGAGTCCAGATTCCACCAGACCCTTGAAGACCAAGTCCTTGGATAAGAAGTAAATTCCAGATCACAGATTGTGGCAGGTCTGTCCTCCTGAAGGAAACCCTTGAGGAGCCTTTAGAAGGAGATGTACTGGGTGGGGAAGCGGGAAATTTCCTGCCCTTGTGGCAAGCACTTGACCCCAGCAGTGCGGCCCTGAGGAGCTGCTTGAGGCCAGAAGCCGCAAGCTGGGGTCGGCTTGACGGAGCTGGGAGGTGAGGAGCGGGTGGTCCCCTTCCGCAGCCAGAGCCCACAGACTGGAGGGGCCCTGTCCGTCCCAGGAGTGTCCCCTCGACTCCCTGCCTTTGGTCCACAGCCCGCAGCACCCTCAGAAGATCGGCAGTTTGGGGTCCCACCCGGTAGTGTGGGGTAGAGCCAGGGACAGCTCGTCTTCAGCAGCCGGGGACTCCACACTTGCAAACGCTCTTACTTCCTAGAATGTATTTGTAACCCCGAGATCGGTGCGCAGGGCCAGAGTCCTCCATGGCCAAGTGCAGAGCAGGGGGGAACCGTCATTGCCTGCCGTGCACGTTCCCAGTTGGGCTCACACGAGGCGACCCCCGCCTTCTCGGCTCTCGTCCTGCCCACGAGCACAGTCCATGGTCTTGGAGGGCCACTTTTTTCTTACATTTTTGTGCTGTCAGTGATTTCGCTGTTTCAAATCCCCCCTCTCAGCACAGGGCTGGACTGTGTCTAGTGTCACAAAGTGTAGGAAGGCCCGACGTCCCTCACGGAGAAGGTGCGAGTGTCGGCTAGAGTTCCTTCAGACATGAGCTCGAATGCTGTTGGTTAGGAGTTCCGCGTTCGTGAATCGACAGTGTGCATTTCAGAAGATGTGTTTAGGGTGCACTGGGGTGGCTCCATCGGTGAAACGTCTGACTCTTAATTTCACCATCTCGGGGTCGTGAGATCGAGCCCTGTGTCAGTTGGACTCTGTGCTGGGCATGGAGCTGGCTTAAGATTCTCTCCCTCTCCCTCTGCCCCTCCTCCTGCTCGTGTGTGTGCGCACGCTCACTCGCTCTCTCTCTAAATAAAATCTTGAAAAAATGCATTTAAATAAAAACACATATAAAACAAGATTTTTGTATTGACTGAGGGAAATATTATGGCCAAAGGCTCATAGGAACCTCGCCCGTATTTCCCCCAGGAGCAATGAATGGTTCCTTATTTGCTAAGTTGGTGTTCAAAGCAACTTTACAGAGCATAACTACTAAACATAATGAGACTCAGCTGTATGTTGTGTGGATTCTGTATTCTCGACATTCTGTATGTTTAGGGGTTGCAAACGACAGTCCATGTGGCCACCTGCTTTTGTAAATAAAGCTTTATTTTTTTTAAGATTTTTATTTTTTTGAGAGAGAGAGAGAGCATGAGCGGGGGGAGGGGTAGAGGCAGAAGGAGCGGCAGACTCCTCGCCGAGCAGGGAGCCTGACGTGGGACTCGATCCCAGGATCCTGGGACCATAACCTGAGCCGAAGGCAGATGCTTAACCGAATGAGCCATCCAGGCGCCCAAATAAAGTTTTATTTAAACACAGATATGCCCCCTTGTTTACCTGTTGTCTGTGGTTGCCTTGGTGCTACGATAGCAGAGTCGAGTCATTTCGGCCAGCGCTGTAGGGTCCCCGGGGCCTTCAGGGGGTACCGTCCGGTGCGCCACAGAAAAGTTGGCCCCCCGGCTAGATGCCTGGCTTCTGTTGCCTGCTGTCCAGGCCCTGAGACAGTTACCTGAGGCGGGCGCACGGATCTCGCCGTGCCTTCGTTTCCTTACGTGAGGAGGACAGCTGTTATCATTACGCACCTTGTAGGGCTGTTGTGAGTTGTAAATGCGGAAAAATCCATGGAAAGGGCCTAGCATAGTGCCTGGCACACAATGAAAGTGGGGTCACATTTAGCTCTTTTTCTTTTACTATGTGGGTCACAGCCGAGCTGGGGGAAATGCAAGGTAGTAGTTGGCATACCGGCTCTCCCGCTTCCCGCAGAATCATAACAAACCCGGTTTGATTTGGCTCTGGGTCTGGTGGCAGGGGCAGGGCGGGGGTCCCGGGCTGGGGCGGCCATTGTCTTCATCCCGGCTTCAGGAAGCCGCTGTTTGTTGTTCTGCCATCTCCGGAGAGCACGGCCCCCTCCACCCCTCCGTTCCCTTCCAGGTGACGAACCGCAGCGAGGCCCACCTCGAGCTGAACGCTTTCCGCAGGAAGCATGACTGTGCCCTGGTCATCTCTGGAGACTCCCTGGAGGTGGGTGCGGGGGACCCCGCCCGCCGGGTCCTCCTGGGAGTGCGCTTCCCTTCCTGCCTGGGGGGCGGGGGCAGGGACCTCGGGTGACCCACCCCCGCCGCCTCCCCGTCCCCCACCAGGTCTGCCTCAAGTACTATGAGTACGAGTTCATGGAGCTGGCCTGCCAGTGCCCGGCCGTGGTCTGCTGCCGCTGCACGCCCACCCAGAAGGCCCAGATCGTGCGGCTGCTGCAGGAGCGCACCGGGAAGCTCACTTGTGCAGTAGGTAGGTGCCCCCCCACACCCGTCCCCACCCCCTGCCCCTCCACCCCAGCCACTGATGCACTGGATCCCTCTCTCCGAGGGTGGTTGGACTCTGCTGCTGTGTCCTGGCCCCTTCACATAGGTCATGCTCTTCTCCCGCAACAGACCTTGGCTCTGATACTATTTTTAGTATTTCCCCCTGAGTGAGAGGAGATAAGCGCGCTGCAGGGCTTTTCTCCTGAGCTTGCTTTTCCTTTGCTCAGGAGGCAGGAAGCCGCGTCACAGAGGGATGCGGACTGCACACAGTGGGGCCAGATCCGGGCCCCCTGGGCGCCTGTCCCCATCCGAGCCTCTGTCTTCCCGTTGGTAGAATGGGGTCATAAGCACTCAGGTGGTGCTGATGAGAACGAAAAAGGGGTAGATTTCAAAAGTGCTGGCCGCAGGGCTCAGTGTCGGCTCCGTAAGCATCGCGTCGGTCACTGCTGCTGATGGGCTGCGGCACCCGGCGCCTCCCATGCAGGGGTGGGGCGTGGACACGGTCCCCCTGCCGCCGCTCCATGGCTGGGGCTCTCGCCAGTCACCTGGTGTTCCTCTGACGCTCAGCTGCTCCGTCTGAGAGACAGGAAGCCGATGCTGTGGGGTGTAGGGTGGTTAAATGGATCGGGGCAGAAAAGGCTGTAGTAATAAGAAGCGCTCAGTGAAAGGGCACAGACTTCTACAATGCTTCAAAGTAAGAATGAAATGTGGGGATCCTGTTTCTCGCCGCTCTCTGATTTCCCGGCTTTTCTCTCGGGTCCGTGCGGCCCACAGGTGATGGCGGCAACGACGTCAGCATGATTCAGGAATCCGACTGCGGCGTGGGTGTGGAGGGGAAGGTGAGTGCGGGCTCGGGGCGTGGGGGCTGCTGGTCGTTGCCGGGCGCTTGGGGCCACAGTGACAGGTCATTGTATTGGGTTGGGAGCTGCTCTTCTCTGCTAGCTGGAGCTGCTTTTTCCCTCAAAACATAGCTTTGATGCTTCTGAAAATTCTAGATTCACATTACGAAGCACAAGGAACCACGAAGCGTGATCCCCTGGTATTATTACATGGGAGTCGGGTTATCACGTGGGAGTCGGGGATCTACATCACTCCGTCTTACAGATGACGAGTGATGATTTTTCGCGTGCCAACGCTTAAAAAAAGAGTGTTTTGCTGTATCGTCAGGGCACCGTGAATGTACTTGTCACTTTTCCGTGGCCATCACAGTGTCCGTAAAAGCATCCGTCATCACGCTGTCTGCTGATGTCTTGGGGGTCAGTGAAGAATGTGGCGCAGTCTTCCCTTCACTAAAAGCTGCATTTTTAAAAAAGCTGGTGTGTTATAACAGTTTTTCTCTTTCTGTCCTTATCACCTCTCTGCTTGCCTTTTACTGTTTCCTCTGTCCTAATTTGTGACTTCTAAATGGTGACAGGGGTTCCCAGGTTTGTCAGGACTTTGTGTTTAACAGGAGGACAGAGGCCCCAAGTGAGGGCCAGAGATGCCGTCCTGTGCATTTGGTCCCACGGCTTCATGAATCGGGCGAATCCACACTCTTCTGTGTCCTTTCCTCCCTCAGCCCCCGCCCCCCAGCCTTACAGTTTGCTCAGAGGAACAGACCGTCGTAAGGTGCCTATGTCTGATGATTCTTGGCTCTGGATGCACTTTACGGGATGGGCGCACCCCCAAGATACTAGATCCCTTTGACCTCCAAATTATAACTGTTTGTGACTTAGAGTGTTTTTTATTTAAATAAATTCCTCTTTTTCAATCACATGTAGACTCAGACCACCTACTGAGCACAGCTCGAAACCAAAGAAGCTCTTCACTGAAGTTTTCCAAAGATCCCCTTAGGGTATCTTGCTTTTTCCGTGGAAAACAAAACAAAACAAAACAAACGTGTTTGCCTTGACCTCCTGTGCTTCTGACGGTGCCTGTTTTGTGTGGCTTTCAGGAAGGCAAGCAGGCGTCCCTGGCGGCCGACTTCTCCATCACCCAGTTCAAGCACCTGGGCCGCCTGCTCATGGTGCACGGCCGCAACAGCTACAAGCGCTCGGCGGCTCTCAGCCAGTTTGTCATCCACCGGAGCCTCTGCATCAGCACCATGCAGGTGGGCGGGGGGTCGGGTCGAGGTGGGGGGCAGGTAGGGGGCAGGCAGGTGGGGGCAGGTGGCGGGGGCAGGCGGCACGGCTCTGCTCACCCTCCCCGGGGCTAGCAGGGAAAAGGCCTGGAACTCGACCGTGCTTTGGAGCTGTGACCCTCCCTGGCTGGTTGGTTGGTTGGTCGGTTGGTTGACTTTATTTTCCCACCTGACCAGTTTTAAATCCCCGCTGGGCCACGTTCCAGCCCAACAGACCTTGGATTGCCCCAGGTCCTTCCTCTGGTGGCTGGGGCAGGCCGTCCTCGCCGTGGCGGGGTGGCTGTGAGCGTTAGCAGCGGGCCTGGCCAGTGCTTGGCAGGAGGGAGGTGTGTTGTTGCCCAGAGTTGTTAGGATTTTTTTGCCAGAGGGAAGCATGCAGAGTGAGATGCGGGCAAATACTAGGGTCTTGGATTTTCCGGATGCTCACGAAAGGGCCAGCAGAGAATGACCGCGGGAGAAAAACTTGTGTTCTCCAGTTCTTCCGACACCCTGGGCACCTGGCTCCATGTCCATAGGGCAGCATCTCATGCGGTCCTCATGGTCGCCTGCGCCCGTGGTACAGATGGGGAGCCTGAGGCTCCGTGAGGCTGAGAGACACATGCAGTGTCTCTTGGGGGTTAGTCTGTATCAGGTGGGGACTCCAGAGCCCATGCTCTTGGTTGCGGTGTCTCCTTGAGTGCCTGAGATGCAGGGAGGCCTGGATCGTGGCCTCGGCTCATGTGGGCTCTCAGGTGGGGCAGCAGAGCCCGTGGCCCTGAGGGGCCTCCGATGTCACGGTTCCACCTCCAGCCATCCCCAGTGGGAGTCGAGCTGGGCCGTCCCATTGTTCAGCTTCTCAGGAGTAACATCTTGTTCCCATCTTGTTTCTCACAAAAGAATTCCAGTGTACTTTCCCCACCTCCTCTCTCGCTGGCTCCTTTCACATCTGTCATCGGTCTGTGGCAATTAAGTGTACACTAGGAGGAAGGCCGAAGGGTGGGAAAGAAAACATTTTAGGTGTTGAAAAACGATTGACGGATTGATTCCCCTTCATGGACGTTTGGTGAAAATATCCCAGTTAAGTAGTGAGAACATAGGGATGATGGGACTTGAAACCCGCATCTCTTTCTGACCACACCATAAATATCTCTGAGACCTAGAGACCCCTCTGGGTCTCAGTCTTCCATCCATGAAGTGGGGATGATAAGACCGGCATCGCCTCTCAGATGAGGCTACTTTGAGAAGCAGAGTTCTGTAAGACGTCAAGTGCTGAAGGCATCCTTTCCCCTCGTCATAAAACCACAGGGCGAGGTATCCAGTGAGGGGATGTTTTAATCTATGGGAAAGGCAATTGCCACATAAAAGACATCCTCCCTTTCTGAGTAAGTGAAGCGATACTGTTCGTGTACATGAGACCCTCTCCCCCTCTTCTGGCCTCTTTCTCACCTTCTGGAGGTCATTTTAGGTTTTTCAACATCTATTGCATTTGTGAACATAGGAGCCTTAAAGTGCTTTTTTGGTCAACATGATCTACACCCAAACAGCTGTTACGGTTCCTCAGACCACATCTGTACTTCTGTGTTAGCTCGTGGGTGGCGCTCTGGATCCGTCCCTGGGGGACTGATCGGCTCGCCCCTGGGTGCGTGCACAGAAGCCGGGCTGGGCGAGCTGACTTCTGTAAAGCCTGTATGTTGTCGCTCTCAAACATCAATTTAGAAAAAACTTCAGGATGGGAAATTATTCTTTGGGGCTGTAGAAAAAACATCTCGCTGTCCACTGTGCTGAAAGTGGCTGACTGAAGACAAGTCCCTCTTGGAGCCGCACCTTGGCGTCCGTCTCGTTGATAGATGTGGCCGTAGTGTTTTTTTCCCCTCAGGTGTTCTCTCCACGACGAAGGCTTTATGGCTAACCTGGCCCTTTTAGGGGAAGGAGGCTCTCGACGTTGATTTACAAAACGAAACACCAGATTCTTGACATTTTTACAACCATCCTTTCTGTGCCGCAGCCCAGCTGGGGTGGAAAGTCATTTGAAAGGTGGCTTTCACCTTCCAGTTCTGAAATATGATCAGGGTGCAGCTGGGGCTGCCCACGACCTTGGCCCCAGGTGGCACCTGCGTTCCGAGCTCTGTGCCAGACAAACACCCACAGCAGGTGATGGGGAGTGAGACGCCTCTGGTGCCACAACCTTTCTAGTCACTAGGCTGGCTCAGGCTGTCTCTCGTATTCAGGTTTTGAAAAGCCTCTTGTCGTCGTCTCTGGCCTCTTTTTGGTTTTCTGCCCCTAGGAATTCGCTTTTGAGGCCACTTTCCTTCCGTGAGCCTGTAGATGCCCAGAGACGGAAGTAACAGAGTGTCACATCTGATTTTATCTCCCCAGCCTGGTTTTCACGGCCAGTAGCTCCTGTTTTCCAAGTCAGGAAGCAGACATTTCAGGGAGCGTTTGGAAAGGTCTTTATTGCGCTTGTCTAACAAAGGCAGCAGGTTATGGGCTCTTTGTAAAAATTTCCAGAAACAGTAAAATGTGTCATGTAAGAGGGGCTGTGCCTTCTCTGCCGCCCTGCCCCCGGGGAGCTGGAGTATGGAGCTGGGATTGAGCCCCGCAGTGCCCTTTACCTGCTCAGAGTCCCCTCCTATGAAATACAGGCGATAGGACTGGATCTCATGGGTGGTTCCGGGGGTTCATGGGGATCGCACAGGGTATTTCTGAGTCCAGCCGGTGTCCCCTAATGTCAGTGTTCACAGAGGGGTAGAGAGTGGTCCCTGGTGCTAAACCACCCGGGAATGACTCCTGGCTCCCATCACTTATGAGCTGTGTTATCTTGGGCAAGTCCCTTAACCTCTCTGTGCCTTACTGTTGTCATCTGTAATAGGGATTGATGATAACAGTACCAACCTCATGAGGTGGTTGTAATTGTGGAATGAGCTGGTTTCATTAAAGCACTCACAGCTGTGCTGGGGAAGTTTGTGCTGTGTTAAGCGTTGACTGTTACTTTATAAGTGTAGGGATTTTGTCATGATTTTTGTTAACATCCTCCTTTCTTGTTGGCACAGGCGGTCTTTTCATCCGTGTTTTACTTTGCCTCCGTTCCTCTCTATCAAGGATTCCTCATCATTGGGTAAGAAAATCTAGGCAGGGTATTAATTTTTTGTGAAACTTCTCGAAAATGCCACAGATGAGCAAGGAAATGTGCTGTCTAGGCTGTTCAGTCCCCAAGTTGCTGGCGATGCCATTTAGAACCTTCTCGGATTCACAAGTTTTTTTGAACTGACAAGCCTGTAACCAGACTGAGGAAGTGGGGTCTGATATGTTTGTGGTTCATAGCCCTTGGCCATTTGGACCTGGAGATGGAAAAATGCTTGCCCATGAGAGTCTGAGCTGACCGGTGATTAGCAGTCAAAGCAAGACCAAAGGTTCAGACTCAGTGATTTCATTGCAGTCTTAGAAAAAGTAAAAGGGGAGCTCTGGAAAGTACCCTCCCTGCCATGGACCCCAGTAGAACCTTCTGCTGCTGGGTCTCTAAGGCGGCCCAGAGCCTTGATCTCTTTGTGGGGGGCGGGGTGAGTGCCTAATGGAGCTTCACTGCTGCGTGCCCCTGACCTGCTAGACTAGGGTGTCCCTGGGACATTTGCTGCCCTCAAACCCAACCCCATTCCTGACTTTGAATTCATGACGTTTCTTGTGATCCTTCGGAGAATGTGTTCAGTCTTTGAATTGCCAGATGGGTGGAATTTGGGTACCACATGCCCTAGATGGAGACCCATGTAGGCCATGCTCCTGGTCGTGAAGAGGCAGGAGCACAGAAAGGCTGGCTGGCCCTGGGGGAGAATCTTACCAAAGTTGCCTGCCTTCTTCTTTTTATGTTGGTCCGTTCACTCTGACAGTGGACAGTGAAATTCTGCTTGCTTCTAATTGGACAGGTGGACATCTTTTGTTAGGTCCTAGAAGAACAAAAGAACATGTCAGAGTGTAGGCAGGGCTCCTGGAGCTTGGCTGCATGTGGCCTTCCATGACTGGACCTCTTGTCCCTCTCTGTTCCCATTTCCTTCTCTCTCCCTCTCACTCATGAAGCCAGCTCACTGGTTGCCTTGCTGTTCTTCAAACAAGATGCACTCTCGCCTCAGGGCCTTTGCACATGCTGCCCTCTCTGCCTGCGATGCTCTTCCCTCCACTTGGGGCTGACTGCCTCTCACCTTCTCTGGGTGTTTACTCAAATGTCACATCCTTTTGGCACCCTCTCGAAAATGACACCACCCCCATGTCTCCTTCCCTCCCTTCCATTAGAGTTTCCTTCTTAGCACTTACCTGCAACACACAGTGTAGTTTACCAACTCTGTTGACTCACTGACTAGTATGAAAGCTCTCCGAGGGCAGATGTTTCCATCAGTTTTTCATCTGAATCTCCCGAGCTTAAAATCAGCCCTGGCACCAAACAGGCACGCAGTGGGTGGTTGTTGAGGGAACGAATGAATGGAAATTGGGCTGCAGAAGCTGGAGAAACAAATTGCTCATTTTCCTTCAGCTGTGTCTTACCTGTGGTGATTTCTGCCCCTCCATCCCCCCACCCCCAGGTACTCCACCATTTACACCATGTTTCCTGTGTTTTCTCTGGTCCTGGACAAAGATGTCAAGTCGGAAGTAGCCATGCTGTATCCTGAGCTCTACAAGGATCTCCTCAAGGTTCACTGGACTCCCCGACTTCCCTCCCTCACTCCTTCCTCCACCTTCCCCTTCTCTCTCCCTCTCTCCCTATTGTTAATTGATTTCACACAGACCCTCCGTATCTGGTTTGAACACACTGATTGGAGCTGCTGGTTTCTTAGAGGAAGGCGTGGGATTTTATTTTATTTTTCTTAAAAAAGTAGCATATGCGCTTGTAAAGAATATTAAACAGTCCAGCAGTAGGTGAACTGCAAACGAACCAACTAACAACTTAAAAAAAAAAAAAAAGCGCCTGACGGTTCCATCCTCCAGCCTCAGCTGGTGTCTGCTCCTGGAAACGTCCTTGTGTTCACTTCCAAAAGGTGTGTGCATGCTGCCTGTGGTGTGGTGTGTGTGGTGTGTGTGGGTGTATGATTTCATTTATTTGTCCCCAAGGAATTTTACTGAAGAGCAGATTTATTTCCACCTTATATCAATTCTCTTTAAAAAATGTAATTTCTCTAGTCAGTTCAGATATGTGCAAGAAGCCCCCCCCTTTTTTTTAATGAAAATAGGCAGGTTGCCTTGTTAGTGGAGGAGCCCAGCGAGGTAGTAACCTGTTCTTTCTCGCTTCCTCATTTAGGGAAGACCGTTGTCCTACAAGACCTTCCTAATATGGGTTTTGATTAGCATCTATCAAGGTAAGGCAGTGCTCAGGGTCAACTTGTCTGTTGTCTGTAGATTATGAAGGGAAGAAGCTGGAACCCTAAAATTTGGTTAAGGAGCGGGACAGTGCGCCCCAGGGGAGGCCCAGCTCAGCATGTTCTAAGGACTAGAACATTCAACAGAGCAGTAGATCTGAGAGGTGATGCCATCTGTCTCATGAGATAAAGTCAGAGAAAAAGATAATGGATGCTACTCAAAACCTGCCAAGATGCTTAGCCATTGTAACAAAAAGTGGTTGCTTTCTGGAATGTTCTGATACTTTTTCTGAGGTCAAGTTCTAGTTTTTGAAAGATGTGTTTACCTCAGTGGACTCCGGGGAGGGCCCCTGGATTGCAGAGACTGTAGGATGACTTGTAGGAGAAGAAAATGCCCAAACCCTGCTGGTGTTTAATTCTGTCTTTATGTATGTTTTATAATGTGCACATGATTGTGTCATGGTCCTGGTATCTGTCTGTGTCTGCCCAAGCACCAACATAGAATTTACAGATGCACATTGTGTATTGGGAGGTCTTACTGACGGGGCATGCAACCAGAAGGTGTAGAAACCAGTGAATTTGTTGGCAGGAGGTTAAATTGTCACTAAAAAATAGAGGGGGGGCATTTTTAAGAAGTCTCTCAAAGTATAATATGTGCATCGATTATGCAGCTACGTTTTATGTATAGAATTTCATAGACAGTGAGCAGGGAAGCGTCGTGTCAGCCCTCCCTCTAGAACCCTGTCGCAGTGGACGGTGGTGTGAGGAGTTTTGGGGTTTAGCATCTAGTAATAACTCTGGTACTGCACCATCGGTTTGGTTTCTGCTGTGCTAGAAAAACACGCATCCGGACCCCGTACCCTCCTCCACTTTCCTTTTTCGCCTTGTTATAGGGGCACGACACTGAGTGTCTCTGGGCTACCTCTGTCATTTCGTGTGTGGGGGAGGGGGTGGTTAAGATAACACATGACCAAAGATTCACCATCTTAACCCTTCTTAGGGGCACAGTTCGCTAGTGTACAGTGTATTCACGGTGGTGAGTTACGTTGTATGTTTACAGTGTCACACTGTTGCAAGAACACAGCCCCAGAACTTTTCCATCTTGGCAAGCAGAAAGTGTCCCCATTCCTGCTTCCCTTTCATCTCTATGGAGGGGACTACTTTGGATTCCTCCTAGAAGTAGAATAGCCACAGTATTTGCCTTTTTGTGACTGCTTACGTCTATCGTTTTAAATAATAAAGTTTAAATTTCTCTTTCTTGTTCCCTCCACTCTGGATGGTTATTCCCTCCTGTCGCTCCTGTTTTTCTTCTCTCCAGCTCTCTCCCTCCCTCCTTCTCTCTTTCCTCCTCTTTCTCTCTCTCTTCCCTCTCCCCTACAGTTTTCGACTCCTTATCATATAAAGTCCAAAGGGAAAATAGAAAACCAGGACAGGGCACCTCTTTCCAACCTCCACAAAGCACCACTCGTCAAGCGCCATCTTTCATGTCTAAACAGAAAACAAACAGAAAGGAGCCCCTACTTGGGAGCAGGCCCCGGGAGCCTTGGGAGCCCCAGATGGGGAGGTCGAGGGGGAGGGCGGCGGCTGCGGGCAGGACCGTGCGGGACGCCAGCTTCCTCTGCCTTTGCAGGGAGCACCATCATGTACGGGGCCCTGCTGCTGTTTGAGTCCGAGTTCGTGCACATCGTGGCGATTTCCTTCACGTCACTGATCCTCACCGAGCTGCTGATGGTGGCCCTGACCATCCAGACATGGCACTGGCTCATGACGGTGGCCGAGCTGCTCAGTCTGGCCTGCTACATCGCCTCCCTGGTGTTTCTACACGAATTCATCGGTAAGACACCTTCCAGCCCCTCCCCTCCCCCTGCAGCCGCAGCCTGGCCGTCGGGTCTCGGGGCCTCCCCGGGACCCGTCCTGAGCTCTTTGTCCCGCAGGCCTTGGCACTCGGTGGTCCCCATGTTGTTCCTGGCATCCCCTTGGGGCAAGTGGCAGCTGTGACTCAGCTTCCTGGAATAGAGGCTCTCGGCTTGATGTCAGTAGGGTTTCCTTTGAAAAGCACACTGTGTGAACTGGCTTAGAAGGGATCCCATTGAGTTCAGCAAAGACTGGCTGGGATTCTCGAGGGAGCCGGTCACTGCGCCGGGCTCCGGGGGGCTGTGGAGAGGTCAGACGTCCAGGTCTTGCTCATGAATAAGGGATAGCCCCACAGGATGTGTCCTTATCACAGGGTGGAGAAACTCTGCCTTTCCCTGAAAACCCCTCTGATGACGTCTCTTGCTGGTCAGCAAATGGTCCTTCAGGTTTGGGGGAAGGAAGACAGGCATCCACGAAAAGTGAAGTCTGAGGAGTTTCACACTTGTCCCGAGAGTCTGTCCAGATGGGTTTCGTGCGCACCTGTCGTGTGCTCTGTGGCTTGGGGCGGTGAGCTCTGCCCTCGGGAAGCTGCCACGGGGCCGATGGGCAGCTGTGCGTGGGCTCCACGGCCGAGCACTCAGTGGGACTGTGGCCGGTGCCAGCCACCTGCCTCCCACCCGCTCCTGTGCGCCACTGTGCGGAAGCCCGTGAGCCCCGCTCTGCTCTCACAGAACCCTCTGGACTGCGGGCTTACTGTCCTGCAGCAGATGGGGGCGCCCGTCCTTAGCTGGAAGCCCCCTGAGGCTACCCCCGTTTCCAGCTTGGCACTGCCCTTAGGCCCGGCTGCCCGTAGCTTTGGTGATCATCCCAGAGGCAAAGGGAAAACGAAGGGAAACGAGGGGAAAAAGCCTTTCTGCTCTCGGGCGGTGGGTGTACATAGAAAATCTGACATGCTGTCAGATTCCGCATCAGAAACACCTGTAAGAATCGTTTGTGCCCCTGGTTTTCTTTCCCTGGTGCTGGAAACAGCATTTCACTGACTGTCCGTGAATTCAGCCGCAGAAGCAGGTCAGAGAGAGGAGGGGGCCGGGAGAGTCCAGACTCTGGGAGACTGAGCCGAAGGAAAGGGCCAGTGCCCGGAGGCCGTGTGTCGGTGACGGGATCCCACGCAGAGACAGCTCTGCCCCCACTCACCCCCCGTCAGAGCTGTGCCGGCTATTCTGAGCCGCAGAGGCCTTCCGGAACATTCCGCCCCCTCATCGCGGTCTTCCCGTTTGCTTGCAGATGTGTACTTCATCGCCACTTTGTCGTTCTTGTGGAAGGTGTCCGTGATCACTCTGGTCAGCTGCCTGCCCCTGTACGTTCTCAAGTACCTGCGGAGACGGTTCTCCCCGCCCAGCTACTCGAAGCTCACGTCGTAGGCGGCGTCGGCCCAGGGCGCCGCGGCCTCGGCGCTCTCCTGCCGGGCAGAGTTCAAGTTACGTTTTTCTTACCTGCTGCCTGTGGGTCGTGCAGGCATCGCTGACACGTGCAGTTTTGACGCGAAGAGGCTCCGCGAGGGGTCCTGACGCCGGACGGTGGGGGAGGTCCCTGGAGGGGACCCCGCGGGCCTGCTCGGGCCCCTCGCGGTTCGGCCCGCAGCGAATGTACATATATGTTAAAGCTGGCGGCTCCACTGACGGATTTATCCGTGGGTCACTGGGCAAGCTTCCGAGGACTTGCTTTCTGTTGTCATGCGATAAGGGTTTCTGTCTAGTTGACGATCGTAGAGGGGTTTTTGTTTTTGTTTTCAACAGTCCTCCTGTGTGTGTACTCTTTACGTCTTTCTCACTCTTAAAAGCCGGCTTCAGAGAAATGTAAAAGCCCTTGGGATAGGTTTGTGGGGAAAGACGGTGACTTCGGTAGAAAGTTACGCAGGCAGTCATCTCGAGGTGGAAATGCGGGATGTCCTGTCCGAGGCAGTGCTGCCCTCCAAGGCCGCACCGGCTTCCTAGAGTGACACAGAGCAAAGGAGAGGGAGAGAGAGAGACAGAGGGTGCCATAAATCCAGTCTGGCCTCCTCCCTCGGACTCAGCATCTCCAGCCCTCGACTTAGCTCCACCTGCCACCTCGTAAAAGAATTTTTGGAGGTGTTCTCCTGCTTTCTTCGGACCTGGTAACGATGACCAAGCCCGCGTCTGGCTGAGGACACCCTCAGACATTTTCAGCAGAGTTGTTGCAGCAGGAAACGTGCCATGGAACAGCTCTTCAACGTGTGGACAGACTGATAAGAGACTCAACTAATTCTTTAGACAACGTTGCACATGTGGCTGGGCCCTCCCGAGTCCTGAGTGCAAGGTCAGGGACGGGGGGCTCTCTGCTCCACAGAAGTGTTTCCCATTAGGAGGCTGAATGACAAAGGCAGAGGCATCTTCCAAGTTGCTGTGCGTCGTTCATCGGGGGCAGCCCCGGTGGGAGGAGGCCCGGGCTGCTGCTCCGGGGCCCTGGGGTCCGGGGTCCGTCACACTGCCTATGGCTCTCGAGGGGAACTTGTTTAAAGGCAGCCGGTGGTAGCGATCCCCACCACCCACGGGGATAGACTACACGCCCGTGTGTTTCTCATAAAGCTGTGGCTTCTCGTTTCAGAGGAGGAAGGGGGTGTGCAAGGCCTGGACCGGGCGGGGCAAGGCATCCTCGGGGTTTCGAGGCCCTCGGCGCCCAGCCGTACGTGCCTGCCATCAGGGCTCGGCCGGTTGATCTTCCAGAGCTGACCATGCTCGAGGTCTTGGACTTGGATGAATTCCTTCGGCCCTTCTGCTTGTGTGGGCTTCAGGGCTGCGGGCTCCGGCTGGTGGCGGCACCCACTACCCTCCGGGCAGCCGGCTCTGGGGGAGCTGGGGGCGGGCGGAGCAGGCGGTGGTCCCCTTGCCTGGGAGCACTCTTCATATGCTCCCGCATGGGTGTTGCCCCTTTAAAACTTCGTAAAATGACCACAGGTTTCAGGCACCGGTAAGCTGGCTGCTGACGTGGCTTCTGTGTGAAGACTGTGTTTCTGCTGCCCTCGTTGCCTGCTCATGCCGGCTGTTCCTGCCGCACAGACCCACAGAGAACTCAGGTGGCAGAGGGTGAATAGTTACGTAGGACTAGGACCTTGGTCTAAAACTCGCAGATCGAACACGTCTTCCTTCCTGACTGCTGTTTCCCAGTTTCAAAAGGAGGGGAGCAGAGTGTGGGGCTCACAGGTTCACACTTGGTTCTGTCTTTTGGGAAGGCTGATTGTAAGTCTTCCGTCATTCTGTTCTGAGTTTGTAAACCTGATCCTGGCCTTCTGCACAGCCAGAGGATGGCTCCTGGGGCAGGTCTTAGGGAACCATTGCTAGGAAACGGCAGACGTTCAGCAGATAGTGGGAGGTGGTCTCTCTGGTTTCATTCCTCAAGTCCCAAGTGATCCAGGTGTGTGAGTTGACTTTTAAAGTCCACACCTGAGCTACTGCTTGCCATCTCCCAGGAAGGGAGCTTTTCAAAGAGGCTGAAGAAGCCCTCCATCCCGACCTCCCCCTGAAGTTGATGGATGCTTGTCTTGCTGTTACAAACCGTGTTCTGGTGTCTCGGCCACACTCTAGTAGAGGCAGTCAAGGGCCAGAGGGACCGAAATCCAAGTGGAGCCCAGACCACCGTCAGTGGGCAGCCTGTGCGCACCCCCTGCTGGGGGCCCTCGAGTGTCCAGGAACGCGTGTGCCCCCAAAGGGTGGGAGCCTCCAGTCGGTGAGAGTACAGGACGGTCGCCTGCACAGGTCAGCCTCATCCCAGCAGAGAGAAGTGTGGCACACGTGGGTTGTCTTAGTTTTGGGCGAGGACGAACACCTGAGCTACTTTACAGGAAGCTCCCGAGTTCATTAACCTTTAGCATAAGGATTCTGTTGACCTTTTTCTTGGTTTCCCAATCTGGAAAGAATTTAAAAAGCACCACTGACCCGTTCCCCTCACCCTGGACCTCAGTGGGACCTAAGCCTATGATAGTTGATTTAATTCGAGGCCGGAGGCCCCATAACACGCAATCAGTGCTGTTCAAACATTTCTCCTTAAAGTAGAAATTACAACCCCCCCCACCCTCTGACACCATTATGTATTTCTGTCACAGTAAGCACTTTTGTTTTATGATGATTTTTGCTTGATCTTGCGGTGATGACTGTGTGTGCGTGAGGACAGTGGGATCTGTTTGTGGTTTCTCCTTTCCCCTTCCTTCCTCTAAGAAAACGACCAGATGAGCTTCTCCATCTTCAGTGATTTCTGGTGCCTGACAGCGTGGATCCTAGTTTGACAGCGGTGTGGGCATAGGTGCGTGTTGCCCGCGGTGCTGGGCCAGGCCAGTTGCATTGACCGTGGTAGCTCGGAGTGGCAGACGTGGCCCCTGAGCCCTGGAGGGCATCCCTGGGAGCATCCTGACACCGGGGCAAACCACCTGTTTGTAGCCACCAGGAGCTGGGAGACCAAGAGCTGGGATGTCTCCCACTGCGACGGTCGTATTCTCTGGGTCCCAGACCAGCTTCGCTTAATAATTGAAGCCCTTTTGTGTCCTAGTAATCTTGAATGTCTGCTGACCCCTTCCCTCGGTGTGTTCTCTGCTGAAAGTTAAGGTCACACTGACAACTTTTGAATGTATTTTGAGTTTTGTGCTCATTGGAAATTGACACAATAATGCCTATTCTTCCTCCAGACTTTGCTTTTATACTTTGTTTTGTTTTTACTGGGGTGGGGATGGGAACGCCCTCATGCCTTTATGGGGCAGCATTTTAAACCTTTGCCAAAATTGCCGATGGGACCTCCATGTGCTTCCGCTCCATCCTATTGAAGGCAAACACCTGCCAGCTGTTTTTTTATCTTTAACCTCCTGTGTGTGTTTCAGTGCGTGTGTGTATGTGACTGTGTCATCTCCAGTTTTTTGATGAGATGCTTGGTTTGCATTAAAATCCCGTTACTCCCAGCTTTGTTTTCATTAAGAAACCTACAAGGAGCTTTGTAAATACAACCGATTTTATTTCTCCTCCCTTCCTTTAATGTAAAGGAATTTGTTGTGTATACTTCTGGGGAAATATTTCCATTAATGATGTTCATTTCGTCTTGGACAAGTGCACGTTTCTGAATGGAGCGGAGAGGCAGATGATGTCGTGAGCAGCGCCCCAGTGACCCTGAGCTCCGCAGCACTTGCTTGCTCCGCGGCAGCTATACCCGTGGACCCATCCTGGTCACTGCGTGGCCATGGGTGCTGTCCGTTCGGGTCTCTGGGTTCCGTCAGTGAATACTGCGTTTGTTGGGGGTGCACAAAAAAAGCTGTGGCTAAATTATGATTTTGTCCCTCTGGGGCTAACTGTAAACTCTCCTAGGAGTCCGTGGCCATCCCGTTAGTAGGTCCCTACGGGTAATCCGCCTTGTAGACTCTTACCAGGACAGTATTTTGTCATGAGAGGGCAGCTCTGGTACAGGATGCTTTAATTTAGCATGGACTCCCAGATGATTTAAATTCTCGATCCTGTGATGATACCCATGTGATCCTGTGTGCTCCGAGCGGTTCTCCTTTCATTGTCTGCCAGCCCAGCCCGTTGCTGTTGCCCAATAAAGCTTGTGTACTTTATGCCTCCGGGGGATCATTTTAATTTGTGCGGAACCATGAATTCTGGTGTCAAAATGAAGGCTTTTTATTATAATGCTGTTTTCTTTGTAACTCACGGTACAAAAAGTGTAAATAGCTTTTTCTCCAGTTAAAGTTACTGCGATTTTGGCAAAAAGAAAAAGGAAAAAAAAAAAAAGTCCCATTCCAAACCCATGCATTGTTGTTTATTCTGTACTGTCGTCTATTACAGACATGGCATCAGTTCAAAAGGTGATCAATAGAAGTAGAAAAAAGAGCACTTTATAAGATTCATTTTCTATTATTACACATGGTCCTTGATCAGTTTAGAAACCTTTTTTAAAATTTAAAAAAAAAATTTAAAAAATTTTTCTCATGTATTTTTTAAAAGATTTTGTTTATTCGACAGAGATCACAAGTAGGCAGAGAGGCAAACCGAGAGAGAGAAGGAAGCAGGCTCCCCGCTGAGCAGAGAGCCCGATGCGGGTTTTGATCCCAAGTCCCTGGGATCATGACCTGAGCCAAAGGTGCCCCACTTTTTTTTTTTTAATCAGATTTAGGAATCTATCCAGTCACTGTGGTTATTAAGGAGGGCACGTGTGTTGTGTTACACGCAACTCATGAATCACTGAGCGCTGTAGCAGTGCTAATGACGTCTTACACCATGGCTAGCTGAGCATAATAAAAAAGGAACGCAGTCACCTAAGTTTGAGGCAGAAGAGGTTTGCAAGCTGTTGGGTATGAAGCGGAGGACATGTTTTATTCATTTCACCCAGTGCCTCTCAGCCGGGGCGCTTTTGTCCCCCAGGGGATTCCCAGTAGTGCCAGAAAGCATTTTTGGTTGTCCCCATTGGGGTGGGCTGCTCAGGGACCTAATGAGGGAGAAGCCGGCGATGCTGCAGGACGGCCCCCACAACATGGAATTAGTCAACCCCAGATGTCCGGCGTGCCAAGGTTGAGAGCCCTCGTCCCCACCCTCCTGCCTCCCGCACGTGTCCGTGTTATCTTTTGCAGGAGACTTTCTTCATTTCCAGAGGATCGCAGCGATGGGAACGCCTGAATCTCAGGAAACCAGCTACGCACACGCCCAACTAGCCCAATGTTTTAATTAGGAGCTATTTGAGGTGTGAGCTGGTGGTTTCCTCCTACTGGCTGAAAGGGTCATCCTCCGCTTATCCAATAGAAAGAGAATTGTAAACCAGCTGCGTCTCGGTCCCGTGGCAGCTCCTCTGAGCAGACCGGAGGCGTGTGCTCTCCGCCCCTGGGACGTGGGCTCCAGCGGGGTAGACAGACCCACGGTACTTTTCCTTAATGGGGTGCTAGCGAAGTAGCCGCCTGGGCTGTGAAATTCCATGGGCGTGCGGACACTGCTCCCTTCGCGCCACTAGGGGGAACTTGAGATTGAAAGACCTTTATGTTTCCTGTTTTCAACAACCAGGAAGGTCCTCGAGCCCAGCTGCTCTGTTCAAGACGCGGCTTTCATAGCTCAGAACTGATTTCATGGCCAACGGCTCCGTCAAAAACAGACATTGCTTTTTATGTTGTTGACCAGACTATTTTGCTGGGCTTTGCTTAAAAAAAAAAAAAAAAAAAAAAAACACGCACAAAAAAACTAGGGTTTGAAGGGGCGGGGGGTGTGTGGGAGATGAATATTTATTTGATCTTGGATATTTGTATTCTTGAATATTTGGCAACGGGGAGGCCTTACCCTACTCCTTATTCAGGCTAATAAGGTTTTGAGACGAAATGTTCCAACACCCCAAGTACTTTAACTGTTTTT